TAGGTCTGAATATAACCGGCAAACGACGAGAAAATGAACTTCGTCCTCTACACTGTTTGTATTACAGCAGTGACAAATTCTCTCTTCTAAGCAACCTTGGGACGAGCAAACCTTCCTAACTCTACCTGTAAGGGGAGGGTCCCACACAGCAATTACTACTACTACTTTGATGTTGATCCATGGTAACACTGCTGGCTCAGTACTGAGATTATGCTATATTAGACGGTATGTACAAAGTTTATTTCCATGTGGCTGGCCTCTATCGTTCCATAATCAAGTAAGCCATTCGTGATGATCCAACATTAATAAACAAAACTTTGCTTTCTGAAATTCAGATTGGGAAATAGTAAAAGACTGTTTGTTATTACACGAAGTTCTAAATTTAAGAGATCAATTTGAAATTACATTGATAAGTCTATTTTTGTCAACTACGTGTAGCTTACACCAAAATCTTAGAATCTTGTACAATAGCGACGTTCCGGTATGGCTGCTTGTACCGTTTTCAAGCATGAAGTAGTGAGTGAGTACAGCAGGATATATACAGGGTACATGAGGGCTAACAAAGACAATGGATGATACAACAAGATAATAAGATATCATAAGCAGGGCTCCAGATAATTTTTCAACATCAGGAGTACGTACTCCTTATTTGTTCAATATTGAGTACTGGAAAACCTTAAGTGTACATTTAGAGTACTGAATTGAAGCTAATGGACTATCAGTAATCTTGTGTTTAGTTTCATATGTGCGCCACAACATTGCTACTCTTGTGTAAACAGATCAATAAACAATAAAACAATACTTTTTTTCAGATAAATACGTCTGTTAATGATTCTAAGACCGCACACCATTGCTGTGGTGCGTATCTGCTACGTTTTCTAAATTATTTCCTACCGTATCGTGCATATTTTTTATCCGTACATACGCCGATACGGCCCTTATCTGGAGCCCTGCATAAGATATCATAAGATATCATAAATATACATGAGATAACAGCATGATGAATAGGATATCAGTGGGGTGGCTAATAGGCGAGGCGATTAGTTAGAGAAGCCAGAGATTGAGTTAATTAGGTTTGGATAAGTGATGGTAAGCTGATGGGATGAAATAGCCCTGGTCCCTGTTAAGTTTTGGGCGGTGTCGTTTTATGTGTAATGCTTGTCAAGTTTCTTGTAGTGTAATCATGTTGAGGGTTTGCTAGTGTTTTGACGGTGTCCCAAGTGATGTTGGTTTTGACTGGTGTGGCGGTCGTGAAGTAGGTGTCAATGGCTGCATGCTGCTTTAATAAACGACTGATGTGATGTGACATTTTGCCTTTGTATGGTAGTGAGATGCGGATGAGTGCAGATTCGGGCTTGTTAGTGGTGGGTTGAGGGTGGATTTGAGGACTCGGTCAACATGTTTAGTGGGGTAATTGCTAAGTTGGGTGAAAACGTGCGTGGCGAAGGTGTTGGAGCTCGGGTTCGGTTAAGGCAGAGGATAGATTGACAGCACGGCGGGTGAGGGTAGAGATTAAGGCGGTTGTAGTTCTGAGAGGGTGGTTAGAGTCAAAGTTGTAAGCGTGATGATATGAGACTTATACCATTCTCCATGTATACTCAATTAGTTGGGTGAAACAATTCTTGATTAGGGGTGAAACAACAGCTAATATGGGATGAATTGACCTAGTCTTGAATTGGGATGAAACAAACCGGGTGTAACTACTTGGGGTGAAACGACCCGGAACCAAGAACAGAATATATGCCAGTACCAGGAAGTAAATATGTGACTGATCTATCATTAAATAGGCATAAATTATTATTTAAAATAAAATCCTCAAGGAGTTTACCTTTATTGTTAGTTTCGGAACTTCCTCACAAGGGTTATGTCCGTTACGGTCACCCATGATACAGGGTTTCGGGAGCAGGTCGAATAGATCCTGAAGATAGGACCGAAAGAAGGAGAAATATACAAAGACCAAAGCGTAAAGGTTATCTGTAAAGTAAGTCGCACAGCAACAGCCTGAGGATGGCTTTTAAGAGGCACCGGGCTATGGATAACATCCTATCTCACGAGAATAGAAGCGCCGCCAGTGGCTTTATCGCTTGGAGGTGAGAATGAATTAAATGAATTGTACTGACACAAGTCAAATGTATCTGTGCTTTTCAGGGATGTCTCTTGTAGACTAAAAGCCTGTGGTGAGTCTTGAGATATGAATTGCATATCGTTAAAATCAGGAGCCTTATTGTTTTAATTTCATAAACAAAATGTTCAGGGAGTTTCAACTGGAGATCGTGAGCGCGTTGCAGCTCCACTCCTACTTCCTGTTTGTGAAGGAGAGATCTCCATATCAAGTAGTTCGAAAAGATTCTGAACCGCCACAGGAGGTGTTATAAGAGGAGGATCTTCTAACTGTTGAAGGGCTCTGGTCTTTCTTCTCAACTTTCTCCTTTCTTTACCAGTGAGAATAGCAACACTCTACGTATCTGGAGTAATATCAATATCTAATGTTCGACCTCATAGGCGGATCCAGAGGGGGTGGAGGATGCAGGGGTGCGCACCCCCTCCCCCCTTTTTATGTCCTGAAAGTTTATTAAATGACCATTTAGACTCTCGTGAAAACGGATGAAAATTATCTGTGCACCCATCCCCCAACTCCCCTTTCTCTAAAAGCTGTATCCGCCCCTGGACTTTGTTGGGTCTCCTAAGCCTGGTCTTCTGATGATCGAGTCGTGTCATCACAGGTTAGCTGGGCGTCATGTATCCACGATATCACCGTCTGACAAGAAGTTGAAACAGTTGCATCTTTTTTAACAGAAGGAGCAGGAGAAGAAACTGTAGCAGAATATGTTAGACCTGTAGCTGGTCTTGATTGAGCCAAACCTGATACCTCTACATGTGTTGTGAGTCTTGTGAACTGAAACAACAACCTGGTTGTATACAAACTGCTGTAATCCCAGCGGAATGACAGACTATTGCCTTCGTAAGCATTTAATTAAAAGAGAACCGTACAGGAGTCGAGTGACATCAGCACTTTCAATAACCAAAAACCTTGGCCAGGAATCATTAATTAAAGAAGATATCTCTTCATCGGATGAAGAGGACATATGACGACGTTTGCTCGTTTTCTATGAACCAGAGTGAGCGTTGTTAGCCATGGTGTAATACTGTTATAATATATATAATTCAACAATACCGTCGAGCGTCATCAAGAACGATACTGCAGTTGAAACCAGACTACAACACCAGGGTTACAGGGATGTTAAACTCCAGAAAATACAGACTTGAAAAGTCATGATATGGTTCGGGCCATGACACTTTTCTAAAGAACATGGAATTCACAATCTATAACTAGATTAGCATATGAGCCTAGGACTCTAGGCAATTAGATTTATCAATAATTTGTATACTAGACATTAAAAGTACCAATACCCAATAATTTAAATGTGCACAAATAATTTCTGTGCACAGGGCACAGCGTGACCAGCCGACTGATAGAATCGTGCCCATTCTACCACCCGTATAGGTGAAGTCACGGTCAAAGCGGTGTGTTGGGCAAAGGAACGCTGTTCCTGGAACCAGTGCCCTCAAACACCAGACTGCCGTCCTCCACCGACACAGAGGCGCAACCCACGGCAAACAGGTTGCCCCATTCGGTCTTACAACCAGCAATGGGGTGCCGTGGACCAATATGCCCCCGGGTCCACACAGGGGGTTGAAGAGCTATTAGCGTTACCCAGCACCGACCACGAGGAGGTTGCTCTTCACGAGTGCCTACATGAGAAGTAACACGGTAATGAAATTAATTAATTTTCAGTTCTTGTTAATGAGATCAATCTGTCCAGGATCTTTTCTGATATATACTCATGCCAATAATGGTTGTTACCCCCTTCCCACCCCAGCCCCACACCCACCGCACACCCACACCCCCTCTCCAATTAAAAAAATTGAAGGGGGTGAGTACATAATTTGATCATCTGTAAAATCACTTTCTAAATCTAAATCATAACTTCATTTTCTGTGAGTCGAACTTTATCGACAGACTCCATATATTTTAATAAGTCATTCTGCTAATTTTAGAAAATTTCGGGAATGTTCCAAATAGAAATTTAACAAACCTGTAATAATTTCCAGTAGTGTAGTCCTGCCAGTCAGTGATATCCTCGTGAAGCGTCGTACAATCACTGTCTCACGCTGGGCCCTGGCCACAGCTCCAGCGTGACTGTCCCCTACCATGGATATGGCAGGTGGTTCTGATTGGATCCCTGGTGTCTGATCCTGGCCTCGGACATCCTGATTCCCACGGCCCCCCGTACTCTTTTCTCTCTTGGCTCCTGTACAAGTTATTTCCCATGTGATACAAACTTGTGTCAGTGTGTAACACATGTTATATTTGTGATTTCACTTTCTCAGTAAAGTACAGATTCTAGTACTTTTGTTAGTTTGTGTGAGTCCCATCCGGAATTCGAACCCACACCCTCAGAATCAGGCACCTCATCGCCTGTGCACAAAGTCTGCCGTCTAACCCATTCAGCCACCACGGCTTCCACAACGATGGGAGTCGGATAACTGATAGTCTTGACCACCGACTTTGTGTAAAATGGCACAGCTCCCACGGCCGAAGTTTTGAATACACAATGCCATTTAGAAAGTGGTCAACATGCCGTGATATTGCTGGAATATTGCTACAAGCGGCGTAAAACCAAACTCACTTACTCACTCCTTCCAGGATAGAACTTCATCTTTTTGTTTTAACTCAGTCGAGACCAAGGTCTACCATTAACTGATTGGTACATTTAAGATGGTCCGCGGTGTGGCGTTTTGAGTGCTGTGAATGAATGTATGTCGCACCACTTCAACTGAGAAATGTAATGCTTTATTGACATGTGAATACAGCTGATATATACTATCGTCGTAAACTAATTCTTCAAATCCTCAAATGGTGTTTGACACTCATATAATAGTTTGTCCTATTAAATGTACTTGTTTGTTAGTATGCTGGGGAGATGTAGCATTCTTTATTGTGGTTGATGTATGTAACGTGTATGTGTAGTGAGGGTGGCGTAAAAGACGCTTATCTCTGTGTGTAGGTGAGAGCGTGTATGTAGAGGGCGTGTCATGTGGTTTAGTGAAGCCTTGTGGTACACGCGATTGCCCGTCAGTAGACCCATGTCCAGTTGCCCACATGGGTACAATGCGTGAAGCCTATTTCTGGTGTCCCCGCCCTTATATTGCTGGAATATTGTTAACACGTGTGCACTCATCCACTCGCTCACTGTAACTGTGTTCCAAGAAGTAACTGGGAACAAAAACCTTTCTTTTACATTTCCCGTTATGATATATTACGATTAGGACAGGTTTCGAACAACACCAAACATTACGGCAGATCTTTTGGCTCTTCTTGGCATTTTCCAGTTTTTAACCACTCTTTCATATCAATGTAATGCGTTCTTGTAATATTACCATGTAACTTGGCACACAGCTGACATCTCCAATCAAAGTCCGTACTTTCTGAATTAATGTATGCATACTTGTGCTTCTTTTGCAGAATATCCCCCATAGCTGTCTCGTTTCTCTCCAAATATTTGATATAATTTGCCAAACTCTTGGGACTGTCAAATGATGCCGTGTTGATGAATGTTCCTTCTGGCAAAAGACGTGTATAGTTAGCGCCTCCACGAACGATGGGAATAGCTGAAGTCATGAACGTGTTGTAGAACTTTTCTGTGATATAGTCTTTACAAAGGGAATTTTCAAACGAAAGGTAAAACCTATACGTTGTGTTTAACAGGCCCAAACACTCAAAGGACCTTTCTTTAGGGCAGTCAAAACTCTTGTTATGTCTGCAGGCACCATAGATGTCAACATCAATATGCTTTTGCAGTTCCTTCACATACACTTCCCTCTTTGACGGTGTACCACAGTTACTTACAAACCAAGCTATTGATCGGCTTTTTCGTCTCAAAACATCACTTATATTCACAGTGCCTCCTGTATACAAGATCCTATTGTAAGGAAAGGGTATATCCGAATCCAGGCGGTACGTCAATGTCCAGTTAAAACGTCCATTCCAGTCAGAACGGAAAATCGTGTTTGAATGATAGTGAAGAGGTGCTTCCCACCCATACATAATCCACACCTGGTTCATGTTGGTGTTTGGGTGTTTTGATGAAGGCAACGTAACGCCATTGACAATCACGGCATCAGCAGATGAAATGTGTGCCTCGTTCGAACTTATTTCACACGAACGAATGCAACAGTGGTCGAATGAGTTTACAGTCTTGTACCAAGGTGGAACGTTCATCCACACAATACGTTTCCGCGTTTCGTAACCTGCTGAAGTAATGTTCACACTCCGTCTATGAAGCACGAGGGGATGCTTTAGGGACACTTCGAGGAGGGACAGTTGTCTTGTGTTCAGTGTTGTTGAACTGGACGTTTGCAATGGAAGCACATCCAGTAATCCAGTACTTGGCAGGTAGATAGCTACAGCAGCAAGAGATGTCACCAGGCATGTGACGAAACATATTTTGTACTTGTAAGTCATAGTGGCCGAAGCTGAAACAAAACACACTACAATTAATCAAGAAGGTGAAAGTCAGGTAAATGCATATTAATAATCATATTCACTTATTTAATCAAAATCATCTTACTGTCAAATGCGAACATGTTGCCTTAAGCCACACAAGGTTATTTCAACAGGTCAGTCCTCCCCTTTTGGCATACGAGAATGAGTATTGTTTTACGCCACCTTTTGCAATATTCCTGTAATATTGAAGTCGTGCTTGGCTTACGGCCAAGGTACTTCGTACCTAGAATTGGGGAATTAGCCGGGAGGGATCTCCACACCTTAATACAAACAGAAGGGTTCCAGGGTCAGACTCTTTTATTAATATATGGATTCAATGTCATACAAAATCATTCAACCACAATTATATAAATGTCATTGATGCACATGAGAAGGGTAGAATAAACATATAAACATTACTATATAATAAATCATTATCAATTAAGTTAAACTCAATGCAAGGTACCTCTACCGTAACGAAGGTGTAATACAAACATTTATATAGTTATAGTTAACAACTGCACGTCTGTACTAAAAATATCTGACTTAACATGATCTGTATTCATTTATTGTGAACATTTACTCATGACACATTACACCTTTCTTGAACTCCTTTCTTTCAACATAGGGGCGTCCTTTACATCAAATACGGTACGCCCGTACGGTGTTCCTTAACATGTACTGTACGGTGTTCCTTAACATGTACTGTTAATGCCGGATGTACGGTAAATGTAACATAACAGTTACAGAGGAGCAGTGATATAATTGACCAATAAATATCATTAAATCAGTTCAACATATTGAGTGATATACAGCTACTCCATGGGTGTAAATGAAAGACAATGTGGCTGATCGTTAGAACGCACTGAGAGTGACTACGGTACGTTACGTCACAAGTAAGCAATCTATAAGTGGACTGGCTGTACTGACCAGTGTGGCGGCATGCTAATGAACCGTTACCGTTGCATTGTTGCATAGATTTTACAGCATTAGCGTTTATTCGTTAAACCTACTTAAGTGCTTTAAACTGATAATGTAAACAAACTCACTACATGTATTATAACAACTAAGCTGTTAACGGCTCAGTATAGAAAGTTATGAAGAATATGTCTGTCGGTTTGGAAATCTGAAAAACCCCGGTTCTTTACGAACTAACCTACAATACACATACACTAAATTTCGTAGCTTCCAAATGATTGCTATTTACCGGACATTTGCCAACTTAATAATTGACGATAGTGAACGACAGTAGCGTGTATCAAATGGAATTAATATATGCACTTAGGCGTTGCTAATGATGTACGCATTTAGTCAGAATAACTTAATGTTCAAGTATTTCTTCTAAACATATGCAGTCACAACTTAGTAACCTGAGAATACAATATCTACGAAAACATTTAGTCACAATATAAAACATATACCTGCACTGACTTGGTTTTGGTTTTCGACAATATGTGATGGTAAAACATCTGATTTGAAGTAAATTGATAACTCTGTCGTCAGGCAGGAATTGTACATGAAACTGAACAGTGTGTTGACACCGGAAAGTATGGACATAGCTAATGCTTCATGTTATTCAACATCTTGCATTATATTTGAAAATCACTTTACAACGGCACACATATGAATATTACAGTCCGTGCCAAATTAGCGACTTAAAACATATTCTCGCAGAGTGTAACATGTACATATTCTAAATTGCAAAACGCACGTATATACATTGTTAACGGAAAACTTCCAGGACACATATTACGATTGGGTAGAAATAATAAAAGCCTAACTTGTAAACCACGCCTGTGATACTTAGCCGAATTGTATGTTTAAGTTATAACTAGAGTAATCTTACAAAGTGTTGGATACAGAACTACCGTAGTAAATGATACCAAGTTACATATATCATAACAGCACGGCCAAGGTACAAGGTTAGAACATAAATTTGATAACGTGTAGAACTAGGTTCATTGTTCAAGTTAAAAGGCACATTGTAAGCAAAAATATGAAAACAGCAAAGTAATAAGTAACTATGGCTTACCTTAATACAAACAGAAGGGTTCCAGGGTCAGACTGATGTATGTGTCAGACCCTGGTGCTTATATAGCTGGACCCTCTGCTTGTATGATATAACCAATTTCCCAAATATGGAGGTGACGCTATACCTCTCTTTTGAAGAGTTGTGGCTTCGCAATATTGCTCAATTTTGGCAGATGGCTTAAAAGATTATAATTGCCTTGGCCGTGTGTTATCGGAAAAGTTGAGTAATAACCAGTAATGTGCGTGGTTAAGCATACACATCTACGTCTGTCTGATTTTACAGTGTGTACAGGCGTGAATATTTGACCATTAAGTTGTGGCCGGAGCGGTCACTACAAACACTGGAGGGTATATTCAATTAGGCTCTTAGCGGCATGGGCGATAACGGCGGCATAGACAGCTGTCAGTTACGCAAGTTGCCGATAATCAGTCTCTTACATCGTAAATACTTTAACAAAGTGTGAGAAATATAAAATCGACTTTGTTGAGAAATATCTGCACAATTTTAGGTAAAAATAAACACATTTTGCAACTGCTATAGTACCCCTGTGTCCTGGAAAGCTTTTGACCGCAAAAGCAATTATGTAACATCAAAACACATAAAAATATAACACAATATGAGTCAATCATCAAAAAGAAATACATAGTCAACATTGATATACATAAGTCAGAAAGTCATACATTGCAGAATGAAAATATGAAAATGAGTAAGTACTGCTCAACAACATGATATGCCCATCCTAAATGTACAATGAGAGAGACTATACAATTTGCTTTGCCATATGTCAACAAAAACTAAAATGAAGTAGGTATTGAAAGTGGATCGAGAACCTTATAATAGCCATTATGAATAAGCAAACACATAGGCGGTGAATGGTTGTTTAAAGAAACGGTGAAGTTTACGTGCAGTAAGGAAGGATATTTGAAGTGTTCGGGGGATAGTGATGGACGTTTCTGTAAGTTTACTAGTAACAATGAAGTCAGGCCAGTCTACAGAGAGAGTTGGAAACAAGTAACCAGAAATACGGAGGCGTCCGACAGTGTATGGGGGCTGTATGTCCCAGTAAGCAGGACAAAGTGTTAAGGAAAGAATGGGAATAGTGTGACACACCAGGACCAGTAGTTAGTTCCAAGATAAGACCATTTTGTAGTCTCGAACGATGTCGGATGAGAAGGATGATAAGGATAGTAGTGACAGCTAGGACAATGATACCAAGAAGGATAGAAACATGATAGTCTGTAAGAGAAGAGATGACGAAGCCTGGAGGCTGTGGGACTATGGGTAGTATGGGCGTTATAAATTAAAGATGGGTGTTGCAATAGATTTAACGGGGAGCTACACGAGTGACTAGCATGAGCGTAGCTGAAAGTGTACGAACTTTGAAAAACATCCAAGTAACTAATAAAATTGAAATGGCCGAAACAACAGACGCAGAAATGGCAATTATAGTGTTTGTGGCTGGCCAGGTACTTGGCAATGGTAGTTGTCCATCAAGCAATGGCTCAGCGATTGACTGGAAAATGGTTTGATCCTTTTGGCACTTTCAGCTATTCGTTTGAGGCTAAGGTGGGCTTGATGGTCATTGGCCAAAAACGCTTGATAATTGACGATAGTGAACGACAGTAGCGTGTATCAAATGGAATTAATATATGCACTTAGGCGTTGCTAATGATGTACGCATTTAGTCAGAATAACTTAATGTTCAAGTATTTCTTCTAAACATATGCAGTCACAACTTAGTAACCTGAGAATACAATATCTACGAAAACATTTAGTCACAATATAAAACATATACCTGCACTGACTTGGTTTTGGTTTTCGACAATATGTGATGGTAAAACATCTGATTTGAAGTAAATTGATAACTCTGTCGTCAGGCAGGAATTGTACATGAAACTGAACAGTGTGTTGACACCGGAAAGTATGGACATAGCTAATGCTTCATGTTATTCAACATCTTGCATTATATTTGAAAATCACTTTACAACGGCACACATATGAATATTACAGTCCGTGCCAAATTAGCGACTTAAAACATATTCTCGCAGAGTGTAACATGTACATATTCTAAATTGCAAAACGCACGTATATACATTGTTAACGGAAAACTTCCAGGACACATATTACGATTGGGTAGAAATAATAAAAGCCTAACTTGTAAACCACGCCTGTGATACTTAGCCGAATTGTATGTTTAAGTTATAACTAGAGTAATCTTACAAAGTGTTGGATACAGAACTACCGTAGTAAATGATACCAAGTTACATATATCATAACAGCACGGCCAAGGTACAAGGTTAGAACATAAATTTGATAACGTGTAGAACTAGGTTCATTGTTCAAGTAAGGCACATTGTAAGCAAAAATATGAAAACAGCAAAGTAATAAGTAACTATGGCTTACCTTAATACAAACAGAAGGGTTCCAGGGTCAGACTGATGTATGTGTCAGACCCTGGTGCTTATATAGCTGGACCCTCTGCTTGTATGATATAACCAATTTCCCAAATATGGAGGTGACGCTATACCTCTCTTTTGAAGAGTTGTGGCTTCGCAATATTGCTCAATTTTGGCAGATGGCTTAAAAGATTATAATTGCCTTGGCCGTGTGTTATCGGAAAAGTTGAGTAATAACCAGTAATGTGCGTGGTTAAGCATACACATCTACGTCTGTCTGATTTTACAGTGTGTACAGGCGTGAATATTTGACCATTAAGTTGTGGCCGGAGCGGTCACTACAAACACTGGAGGGTATATTCAATTAGGCTCTTAGCGGCATGGGCGATAACGGCGGCATAGACAGCTGTCAGTTACGCAAGTTGCCGATAATCAGTCTCTTACATCGTGAATACTTTAACAAAGTGTGAGAAATATAAAATCGACTTTGTTGAGAAATATCTGCACAATTTTAGGTAAAAATAAACACATTTTGCAACTGCTATAATATCTCCGCGTGGAA